GGCTCTAGGGGTGGGCGGGGCTCTAGGGGTAGGTGGGGCTCCTGGGAGTAATAGAGCGCGAGCGGCTGCGGTGAGTCCCCCCGGCCGCAGGGGTCGCTGTGCCCCGCCCGCCCGCCCAGCCGGTCTCCGCCGCGGACTCTCTTGCTGGCTGGGCCGCGGCCGCCGGATCAGCCCCTTTTCCGGGTTCGCTGCGCTGCGCTCGGGGCCGGCTCAGGCTGCCGCCGCCGCTGGGGATCGGGCCTCGGGCAGAGACCGCGCGGGACCCGGAGCCCGGCCCGCCAGCCCCGCCCCCTCCCCTCCCCCCCCGCCGGGCCGGGACCGGCCCCCCCGCCCCGCTCCCCCCTGGGCCGGCCTGGCTCTGCTGCCCCCCGCCGCCGCCCTCCTGCGCTCCGTGCCCCGCCTCGGCAGCCCCGCCGGCCCCCTCCGCCGCCGCCTCCTGCAGCCGCCCCCGCCGCTCGCCCCCGCCATGCCCGGCCCGGCCGCCGGCAGCAGGGCCCGGGTCTACGCCGAGGTGAACAGCCTGAGGAGCCGCGAGTACTGGGACTACGAGGCGCACGTCCCGAGCTGGGGGTAAAGCGGCCCCCGCCCCGAGCCGGGCAGCGGGCGGGTTGGAGCCGGGGGAGGGGCTGGGGGGCTGGGGCGGGTTGGAGCCGGAGGAGCGGCTGGGCTGAGGGAGGCTGGGGCGGGTTGGCGCCGGGGGAGGGGCTGGGGGGCTGGGGCGGGTTGGAGCCGGGGGAGGGGCTGGGCTGGGCTGAGGGGGGCTGGGGCGGGTTGGAGCCTGGGCAGGGGCTGGGCTGAGGCGCAGGGGACTGGAGTGAGGGGGTTGGGCTGGAGCAGGGGTGTTGGGGAATGGGGGGGGCTGGGCCGCTAGGAAACGGGGGGCTGGAGTGAGGGGGTTGGGCTGAGACGCTGGGTGGGGGCCTGGGGTCAGATGGCGGGCTGGGGCTCTGGGGAGCTGGTGAGTGAGGGGGGCAGGCTGGAGATCCTTCCCACGATTCAGGGCCCTCTCCCAAATCCTGTCTCAGGGAGACCCCCGCTGCTGCCACCCACACTCCAGAGCTGGGGTAAGGGGGATCCCGATATGCTGAGCCTTCACCCCTCTGCCAGATGCAGGGCCAGGGGTGGATGGATGGGATTTGAGCCATCTCCCTCCATGACCAGCTCTTCAGGTGGGAGATGGCTCAAATCTCACTGTGGGGTGGTGGAGTGTGGTACCGAGTGAGCCCCAAGGATATGCATTAGGGGAGTTGGCACTGCCCCTCATAATGGCACTGTGAACCTGCCAGCGAAGCCCACCCCAGAAACAACCTTGCCGTAGACTCTCCGTGAGAGCAGATGTCCAGGGATGGGTGGAGATCTCAGAGCTGCCAGAGTGTCTCTTCTTCCCTGAGAAGGATATTAAAGGCTGTGGAGAGAGCAGGCTCAAGAAGGGGAGGGGGTATCACAGTGCCCCCTCCCCTCTTCACTGTGGGGTTGTGACACAGAGAGGAGGTGGTTGTGGGCACCTGTGCTGCTATTTGATTAAAGCCTTTTCTCAGCCTAGAGAGACTAGTTTGGGGATGGGTTTGCAGAATGTAGCTGTTTCAAGCCTGCCCCCTCATCAGAAAGCAGATCACTCAATGCACAGAGCTGTCTCCAAGTGCTTTGGATGCGAAGGGCTAATCGGGCAGGGAGGAAGGAGAATTCCAGCCCAGTAGCCTGTCAGTTATTTTCCTTTTCGCTGTCCACAGTAATCAGGACGATTACCAACTGGTTCGGAAACTCGGCAGGGGAAAATACAGCGAAGTCTTTGAGGCCATAAACATTACCAACAACGAGAGAGTGGTTGTGAAAATCCTCAAGGTGAGTGTCCAGTTGATGATCGTTAGTCTTTTTCGAGCTGGAAACGTGTAGGAAAGGGGACATCTTGCTAGGTTTATCGGGGGCATGGGGAGGTCTTGGGTCTCATTCAGTGTCTCATAAATTCGGGTTTCAGCCCTGCCCTCTCTGATGTTGGGGTGCTGGATTACATCTCTGGAAACACATTTTCAACTTGTGTCCTGTAGTGATGTTTTGATCTTTCTCCCCTCCCACCCTGGGTAGTAGGAGTCATGGGGTGCTTGTCAGATTGAAACTGTGAGCTCTTTGGGACAGGAATGCTGTGCGTCCTGATGTTTGAATGGGACTGGATGTGCTGTCTGAACTTGGTAAATAATATCTGGCAATGTTTGTCTAAAATGGCTTGTGAACCGTCCTGTCAACAGTAATGTGAAGCCTTGAGGGGGGATCCTTCCATTAACCTTTACATGATTGGCATTTAGCTGTGACAGAGCCAGGCTCTCTAGATTTTGGGAAAGCAAACTAAATCTTGGACTTGGTACTCTAGAAAATATATTGGATGGCAAATTCCTGGCTATTTAATGTTAGGAGTAAACATAATTGAAAATCAAGGCAAAGGATGAAACTTGTTTACCATCGCTCACTGCATGGTATGTTCTGATATGGTAACATCTCCATGATAGTGTCACATTAAAGACACAACTACAAAGGTAGCTATTAAAATCCTAACGGTTTGGGACAGCCAAGTGCTCCATACTGGCATGTGGGGAGCGCAGTTTCTGGTATCACTGCTGCCTGCGAGCACTGGAAGCAGCATGCTCAGCCTATGAAAGGAGTGATAACTGCATTATTTAGCAGCAGACCATTCAGCTGATTAAGGAAGGATATTTAAAGGGGAGAGAAATAAGAGATTGGTGAATTAACAGAATGCTTTGGCTTTGCCATAGTCCACCGTCTTCTTGCTTTCCCCCAATGTACAGAAACCTGCTTCCAACACTAGAAATGCTGAGAACTCAGATATGCGTCAGTCCTCAGTGCTACAGTTCGGGTAGGCTGGCTATACTTAGGAAGTGGCCCCTCAGCCGCTGTGGCTAGTAGCTAACTGCCATGCATACATGCTGCTCTGCTGAAAAGGGCCATGCATCTGTCAGCCTGTGAACTGGCTACTAGGTGTGACCAAGTTTGCTCTGACAAAATCCCCTTGGTAGCCCAGGCCAGCTAGCATTGGCTCTGCTCCTTTTCTTTCTCCTTCAGGACCAGGTGGGCTGCTCATCCAGGGCCTCTGATTCCTCGACCTCTTCTCCCCGCTCAACTTGTTCTGCCATGGATCATGTTCTGCCTGGCAACGGTTGCTGGGTAGGGCTTGACTTCCCAGCTGTTTCTGAGAAGTTAGCTATCTCAACAGCTTAACTAGGGTTCAGAATTAAGGTGGCAAAGTGATCTGAATCTTCAGTGAGAGTCCCCACACCAAACAGTTTGCTGGTTGGACTGTATATTCATATGTAGAAGTGAGGCTTGCATGTTGTAACTGAATTTTTTTGGTTTACTGTTCAGGCCTGTCCCTCCTTTGGGTGCTGCTGCCATGGTCTCAGCATTTGTTTGTCACTCTGGAGGCAGAAAAGTCAGCATTTAAAGAGAGAATATTAAAAGATAGCCAGAGTATAATTGTTATATGGAGAGATGTCTCTTGACTAAGCATAGGAAACCATAGGCTTCTGTTTACCACCAGTCTGGCTAATCCACCCTACGACTTTGGTGGTGGACCTCAGATGCTGATCCAGTGCCAGGAGAACCCATGTATTACCATATGCAAATAGGTGACAGTGAGCCACTGTTGCCAGGACAGGATCTTCTGAAATCTTCCTGTCTTTCTTCCTCCCCCTTCCTCCCCAAAGGGCCTGCAGTGGGATGATATCTTCTTCCTGTTGTAGACTGGATCCATGTCCATTTTGGGAGCCTGTCAGCATCACTTGTGAGTCAGTTGGAGAGGTCATTTGAGCAAGGCAAGGCGTTCCCTCTTCCCAGGGTCTGTGTGTGCTGCTACAGCAATACACCTAGTGTCTGCTGGGCCTGGAAGTGAGATTGAACTGTCAGTGTGTTGTGCTGCCCTTAGGCCTCAGGCTGACATTGTTCACTCAGTGTGTAAACAGCATTCCTGGAGTCACATTGTGAAAGCAGAAAGTACAGGAAGATAAAGATGAGCTTTCTTCAGAGTGGGAACTGGATCAGTACAAGGCAACTTTCAGATTGCCACCTTGTGTGTGATGCAAAATCATAGCACGTGTAGATAATATGTCACAATCTGCTCTACCTGGATTACTTAGTTTCCTGTCACTACATCTGTAATAATTAAGCCTATTTGTGTATTCTTGAGTTTTAGTAAATAGGATGCATCTTTCTGGCCCTCTGAATTCAGCCTCTAATCTGTGAAAGGAAAAATTAAACCAGAATGTAACAAGTTGTGCATGTGGCTTAAAAAAAATCACTTGCTGATGGATCAACCTTTTTAGCATCTTAATTTTTTGTAACATTTCCTGAAGTGCTGAGCTGTTTGTATGGATTGCTGTACTTTCTAATGACATAATCACCTAGTATTTTTCTACAGAACCCATGCCTCATTCAGTGTGCAAGTTGACACAGTGCTTAGTGAACTAGACAGGTGTTCAATATTTTTACCCTCACTGTTCAATACAGCCCCATGTCTTATCTGCTGCACACTGCACTGAATAAAGGATATGTTTACAGGCTTTTCTGTGGCTCTCATCACCATAATGTCTGAGTTCCTGACCTCACCCCTGTGATATCAGGAAGTTTTATCATGATTTCTCAGATGCAAAACTGAGCCACAGAGGGGATGGGGTGGGGCGAGAGAGAGACTTGTCAGAAGTCGCACAGAAAGTCTGTGAAAGAGGCAAGTCCCAGTCCTCTGCCTTAGCCATTCTTCTCCCACAGCCTCTTGCCTCATTTGCTACATGCCATACAGCTTTTACGGTGAATGAGGGCAGGATGCTGTGGGCTCCAGCTTTACTTCGGGACACACCATGCAACTATGTGGTGAATAAGGCAGGATGCTCTGGACCGTATACCATTTCACTACAAAACCTTGCCTCATTCACCGTGAGCATGTCATTAGGTATTGTCATAATGCATCTGCACAAGATTGTGCAGGCAACCGTAACTTTGTCACTTCCTGACTTTTGAATGCTTCACTTGCCAACCTTAATACTCTTTTAATGTAACATTTTTGTATGAAACGTCCTAAGTGTGTGGGGTTTTTTTTAAGCAAACGAAGAAAGCGAGTTCCTCCAGATCCCACTGTAGCTAGACAACAATTACATGCTCTGTGGTGCACATATGTACAGTCAGTGAGGCAGGAACCCTTGCCTTGTCCCCTATGCACTTTCAGAGATCACATTCCACAACAATCAGCTGCTAACAGTGAGGTCCATTTGCTTGGCCTTTGCACTCTTCCAGTGGTGCAAAGAATCTGGAAGGCCGCCCTAAGCAGGCACCACCTATGAAGCAGGCGACTGAGGATTTTCCTAGTATGGAGTATTCTTTGGGTGATGTACCTAGCTCTCTGCCAGCTTAGGGTGTGTGTAAGGCATGTCCTTCAGCTTAGGGGAGTACGGTCAGGGTGCCACTGCTCCGGTGATCCCCATCTGGTGTAACTGCCTCGGGGGGGGGGCGGAATTAGCAACTGAAGTTAGAACAGCCTCAGGGATGCTCTGTTATGCAAAGGGCCAAACCAATCTGAGGATCAAGAGAGGATCAAGTTACTACAGTGAACCTTTTCCGGAGGGTCTGGCTGGAGAATCTTGCCCACATGCTCGGGGTTAAGCTGATCGCCATATTTGGGGTCGGGAAGGAATTTTCCTCCAGGGTAGATTGGCAGAGGCCCTGGAGGTTTTTCGCCTTCCTCCGCAGCATGGGGCAGGGGTCGCTGGCTGGAGGATTCTCTGTGACTTGAAGTCTTTAAATCACGATTTGGGGACTTCAACAGCTGAGTCAAAGGAGAGAATTATTCCAGGAGTGGGTGGGCCAGCTTTTGTGGCCTGCATCATGCGGGAGGTCAGACTAGATGATCATAATGGTCCCTTCTGACCTTAAAGTCTATGAGTCTATGAGACGTGCAAAGATGGCATATGGCCACTGTTGCCTCCCACTCAGGTCCTATCCCAAGAACAGCTCAGCTGGACCAAGGATTGAGCCCTGAAATTCTGCTGCACAGCCAAAGGAATACCAGGGCATCATCTATTCAGTGACAGTTCCCGTTAAGTTTTATGTAATGTGCAGACATATTATCAATGGAATAGCAGAGTTCTCTAACCTAATCCAGCGCAGATGTCCAAAGTCTGTTGTTTTTTTTTTAAACATCGTAACTCAAACCCAGTCAAACTGGATTTTCACTGGACCAGGGAAAGGCCCATCTACAATTTAGGTGCTGTACACCTGCCAAATTTCAGTTTTCCATCACCTTCTGCCGAGGTGCTAAAGCTATTTTTAAAAAAAACCCAAACTTGGCTGCAATCATGTTTTCTTAAGGGGGGAAAAATGACACTTTTTTCAATCCCTCTGTGCCTGAAAATGTCTCATCTGTTTTGGCTAAAACCTCAGGGAGCCCTTCTCTCTCTCTCTCCCCCCCGCCCCTTTCTGAAGGTAAGAATAAGCATAGCAAATTGCAGCCCCAAAGATAAAACCTTGAGAAAGTTAGAAATGAGTGAAAGAAGATGGGAATACTTGGGACCATTCTAGTTAAAGTTGCCGGTGCACACCTATAGTGCCACTTCCTTGCTGATTTTCACAGCCTATGAGTTTGAGTTCTCTCTTGTGCCTGTTATCTCCAATACTGGTGTCTGCCCAAGGCAGTGACTATAGCATCTATATAGCCAGCTCTCTGTAGGATTTTTCCCACTTCTGTTCTCTCTAGATTTGTGTATTTTGTTCAGTGTGCTACGTGTTTACAGACACACAAGGGAAAAGGTTCCTCCCCTGAGGCGTTTACCATCTGAATAGGCAGCATC